TCACAAAATTTTGTAACAGTAAACATTTCTCTGAAGTTCGGCAACACGAGGTGTCAATGATAAAATCTTGAAATAATGAAAATTCTAGGAGTGAAAATTACGCTTTACCGCATAAATTAACAGCCGCAAAACAACAATAGCAATTGTTATTAGCATAAATAATGCCATATGAAGTACATTCTCACAATGGTAATTTCAGCCTGTGACAGTCGTATAACCAATTATTTAAACTTGCACAGTTTTGGTCCTATGACTGGTATCGTCATGTTGATGGTTTTCTGAAAATTGCAATTTGTATTGATTTAACAGCTTTGATCTGTACGATAATTGCTGCATTAATAGGAGTGGATCTTAGTTGAGGGAGATGTCAAGCATATGATTGAGAATTCCATTTGTGAAAACAAGCTGTTAAAATCTATGCCTAAAGCTATGTTTGCATGTGAAGGGCTTTCTAAAGTTGTACAACTTAACTGAAAATACATTTCTATATTGCCTGATTTCTAAATACTGTAATGGGGGAAAAGTTGCTCTGACAATCCATTGCTTAGTATTGAGTGGTTTCAGAATTGAACATTAGGTAATTTATCATTACTTGGCAGCAATGCGTTCCCTGATTGGTTCAATGGATAGGTGTTAAGTCTTGTGTAGTGAATACGCAAGATTTTCTCTGATTGGCTAGCTGGTTAAGAGTCAGGTTTGATTGGCCTATCAGGAACATTATCTTATAAATCATCATTTACTAACCCTTAACTGTTTTCTGATTGGCTGATTGGTTAGAACTTAAAAGGTATATTAGCCAATCAGGGACAGTTTTGAATGATTCATTATATAAGGGAATCTTGGAGTATTTAGGCCAGGGCTATTTGATGTCTTGAGAATTACTAACTGTATAGTACAATCATAAGGATAAAGAATTCCTTTGTTATATTGCAATAAACTGGGACACAAAGATAAAAACTTTGTCTATTGTCATTTATGTGACTAGGGTTGTCGTCTCTATGAGTGCCTGATAAGAACAAATCATTCAGGTGACCTTTCAACTTAAATTGGTGCTCAGTGTGTGAAATACTGTAAATGCATTAAGTATTCACTGGTTTACTCAATTTGCTATTAAAATTAAATCCATGCGAACATGTAGAATAACAATAGAACTCATTGTTTCCCTGTCAAATTTGTTAACTTAAAACACAGTAAAATTGCTCAAAACATCAAACTAGTGAAATCGAATATCAGTGAAAATAATTGTTTTCCCGCAGTATTCAGTCATTTGGGGGAGGGGGGTTCTGGAAGGATGAGAAGAAATTTAACAGAGGGGGAGGTACATGTATATGCAGTTCGGCAATTTCATATTCAATAAATTTTACTACATACATGTACAAGCAGAAATCTAAATCTAAATAAAAAGATGAGGAACAGTCGATATGATTTTATCTTTTTCTGGTCACTTTATACTTATTTGAATGCCACATTCTACAGGTTGACATAATGAGTATGATGTCATTTTTATTTTTTTCTCAATAAAATTATGAGAAGGTGTAAGCGACAGACATATAATTGTATTTTAGATCTGTTTTACTCGTATAGTCTTTTGCTCTTTTGGACATTACCTTACTTTTGTTTGTGTATGTTCCAAAAAAATATTGTATCATATCATAATTGACTTGGTATGGCCTTGAGTGGTTCTAAAAGTTTATCTTTGACACATCTATTAATTGTGATGTCTGCAATATAGCATTTTAATTGTTAATACTGAGTAGCTTGCTACCAGATATTTTCGGATTTCTTCAGCGCCAATTCTATGAATCATCATTGAAACCTTGTGATTTGAGTGGATTCATCCTGGAATTAACTTTATGTTAAGTATATTGACTTTGCAATCATGTTTGATTAAGGTTGCTGATATTAAAGATTGTGAACTCCCTGTTTCAACTGTTGCCACCTTTCACCGAATAGCTGTGCTTAATGCTATTTTGTTTTCATTCAAAAAAAAAATTTAAAAGTCTGTCATGTTTTGCTATATTGTATTCTATGTGTGGTCTCAGGTTGAATTTAAAAAAAAAAATTGTGAAATAATCTAAACTATTCTGTGTAAGCTAGGAATGTGTGGGTATCAAACCATTCAGTTATCAATGTTCTATCTCCTTCGGTTGTTATCGTTCTGAGTGAGGTGAGCTGAAGTTCACATCACTTATAGCAAATTCTCATCATCTTTACCTTGTTCATATGTATAGTCCTTGTACAGTTCAAATGTGTAAGACTTGAAATTTGGTGTTCTGGGGGAAATACAATTTGAAGGCCAATTCTAAAAATGTCTTTAGACACATTAAAATTGTACATGTATTTTGAAGGGGAATGGCCTCCACTAGTGCTGTGACCCTGCATGTACAAATACCGTACTCGACCCGTGTTAGCGCCCATGCCCAGGCAAGCGCCCACCCCCCACTTTTGGGCAATTTTTATATTCGGGGTCACATTCGGCAAAGCGCCCACCCCTTCAAAATGCAACTACCTGTAATTTAAAACTTGGTCTTGCGTAACGAATCTTGGTAATTGTTTTTATATAATATAGCGTGGAGTTGTGAATGCGTTGACAATGACCTGTTAATACAAGTAAAATGCGGTAAATATTTCATGCCATATTCAGTTTACCTTTCAAAAATGGCTAGTTACCATTTTTTTGGGAAAAAAACATGTTGTATATACATATTAATATTAGATGAGGCAATGCATGACAATGAATGCCACCGGGCTCTGATATGCAAGGTAATAAAAATTGCATACAGTATGTGCAGAATTAGAGAAAATAATTTCTCACTGTAATGTTCATTCAGATTCCTCTATTCAGTTAACATGCAGTAGTTATTTCAAGTACATGTACTGTAGTTATACGAGTCTTTATCTGATGGTACTTTTACGAATAGTCACCGTGACGTGCATTGCAGTACATATATATGTATATTTATCAAGGCGTGGCATGTGTTGTTGTACCAAAGATTCAAGGGTATGGAAATGTAGTAAAACGCTTTAATATGTGCCAAAGGTCATTGTGAAATCTAGTGGCAGGTACTCCCGACTCATCTCTGGTACGTGTCGTCCATGCCGATTATAATCTCTTGTGCTTCAAGGTAACCAAATATAACCTTTTCACCACCAGACTTTCTCGTCCAAATTTGTCTGCACTTTTTTCTTCTATTCTTCAATATTCTTGCACATGAACCCCGATTTTGAAACCAACAGACAAAGTTTGAGTTGATTTTCAGTTCGGCTTTTTTTTGTCTCAATCTTCTGAAGGAAACTATAAACTATATTGTGAATTTGTGATGAACGAAAGGAACTGATGTTGAAAAGATTAAACATTGCGTTGGTATATCATTCCTGCATGTTTCAATAATTAGATTCAAAATGATAATACTTAAATGCGCACAGTACAAAGTCTGGATAAATCTTTAATTAGTTTATTGATTTTTGTGTGAAGTGTGTGCAACTATTGTTGGACGTACACTGTGTCATAGCGAAGAATAGGATTGTGAGAGAATCTGTCATTAGTTGTCAGAACTGTATTAAATGTCAAAATGTCAGTTTATTCACTTTCCAATCATAATTTGATGACAAAAATTGCCTGTTATGGTGTAATTGTTTTGGTAGCTTTGAATGGTTTCTTTGCTGAAGTTTTCCATTTTTAGTCGCTCTCATTTTGAAATAATTTTTTATCTACATGCATTATATGATCAATGTTTTAGAAATATATAGAATCCAGAATAATGTTTCAGTGTTTCCTTTAAACTCCTAAATAAATAACATTCCAGCGTGGTCTGTCAGTGGATGATGAATTACTAGTGCTGTCTGTCATATCTGCATTCTAATTAATTGAAATGCTGTTTCTCATCATTTACATGGCTTTAATCATCCAAACCCTATGTTTACTGGAATATTAAATGTACTTGCTGTGTTATCACATGTGCCTATGGGAATGCTTGGCAATAACAATTGCTGAATATGCTCTATTAGAAGTGCTGCTCCAATAGATGCATTATAAACCAAAAATTGCATTCGCTATGCTACCGTATATGCATATTCTTAAAATATGAGTAATTTTGAACACAGACGCACCTCTGTCATTTACAAATTAGTGAATGCGCTAGTAATAGAGAATAAGTATGGTATGGGGTTGGTTGGTTGGTTCATTTCCAATACGACTAGAACAGTTTTGGGCAAGATATGCTTCTAATAGCAAATAATTTTGTTGTTGTTAATTAATCCAGTTAATTATAAAAATGTAAACACCAGTGTTATTTATCTGTATCTAATTGATATGACAGTAAAATTTGCCATTGACAAATAAACTATGTGCACAGAATGAACGAAGGATGAAGTGTTTGTCTACCAGCATATATCAGTTATAGAGACACACCCAGATACAGGCTTCCATGTATTTGGATGTATTTCTATAATTGGGTAATTGAATTTCTAGATTCTTTACCCAGGGATGCCACACTGTTGTACTATGTAGTACTGTAAAATGACTAATCTTCACTACGTTTAAATTTCGCTGATTTACCATTTCAGGCATATTCAGTGGGTTTTAATAATGTGTTCTATGCTAAATTTTACATATTCACTGGGTTTTAATTTAGCGCATTTTCCAGTCAGCGAAATGAGCAAAATTAAAACCCAGTGAATAATTAACCCTTTTACAGTATTTGAAATTGGTTTTATGTGTTTTGTACAATGTATATAAACATGTATTGTTTGATCAAATGTTACATTACACATTAAATCAGTGTTTCAAATATGTTAGTTTATTTGTAAATTAATTAACTCAGAATCTTTTCAATTTTTAGAGTTTTTCAAATAATTATCTGACACAAAATTCAGCAACAAATTCAAGTATGCTAGTGAACTCATTAGATTTCTTCTTTCTTTTTTTCCAGAACCTTGAAAACTTAGAACAATTGAATGAAACTGGAGAGTTGAGGCGAATTTTGTCCCGATTTGAGGTGAGACGATCAAAGTGTTCATACTGGGTTATTATATAAAACTAAATTTGAAATTACCGTGTGTGACCCATATTCAGAATATTTCCTGAATATAAGTAGACTGATTTGTCACCAGCGACTTTGCTTTAAAATGCATGCATTGTGAGGTTGCCCTCTGGAGGCAAAAAATTGAAACATTCTGTTACAGTTTAGTTCAGTTAACCTTTCGATACAAATGTCAACTTTTTTTTCGCCTTTCGCCATACTTGTAACCAATGGGAAATCAGTCTATTTTCTCGAAACTTAACAACGAAATTCTAACATGGCTTGGTTATTTCAGCCAATCAGGTCACAGGAATATTATTCTTAAGTGCCAACAACAAAATTAACATATGGTCAACAAAATCGTCGGCGATAAACGCAACTGTGACTGCAGCTATATTAGAAGCCGATTATAAAATGACAAGTTCCTTATATAGATGTCGCTCAGTTCGTAACCACCATTCTGCAATCTATACTTATAACCAGAAAAATGTGAAAAGTGTTGCACCAACATTTTTTGGCCTTCAGAGGGTTAAAGCGCGGTAGTCGTCGTGCTGCACATGTGCAAGATATATGGGTCTCATATCAACAAGTATGAACTGACACGTTTCCAAGATGTAATTAGGTAATTTTCATGTGATTGGAAGGTATCGAGAGTAACCGGCGGTAATCAGTGCAAGTCGCGCCCAGGTCAAACCTCATTCTCCATTTGAAGAGAGTGCATTGGATTGTGGGAAAAATCAATGTTTATCAGCACAAATGTTGAACATGCGACTACCGCGCTTTAAACTTGTCATGTATGTTTGAATACTTCATTGCGTTCTCTTTGATTTTACGCGTTTTTTTTTATTACAGAAATGCATCCCAACAACTCAATGTGACTTGTGTGGTGGATTCCGTATGGTTCCATGCACTGTGTGCAGTGGCAGCAAAAAATCCCAACATCGTAACAGCTTTACTTATGATTTCCATGCGCTCAAATGTACCGCTTGTGATGAAAATGGACTTCAGAACTGTGAAGAGTGTGGAGAGAACTAAAAACAAACACACATACTTGACTGTGATGTCATTACTTAAATAAAGTATGATTTTATTGCTATGAAGATGTGGTTGTTGAGGATGAACTTATGACAACATGCAATCAATGCTATCATCACTTATTAGACCTTGCATACTTCCCGTAATATAAGGAAGTTGGATGAAATCAAGACCGAACAATTGTGATGTTTATATATAACAGAGATGAGAAAAAATGCTAAAATAACTTTATTCAGATAGTATTCTATTATATATACACAACATTCAGTTTATTTTGTTTGCTCCACTTTGTTGTTGAATTTTTACCTCCTGTATGTGTTACTAGAGTTGCACCGTAATTTTTTTTCAACTTTATTACCACCAGACTTTTTCTCACCCAAATTTTTTGTACTTTTTCTTATATTCTTCAATATTTCTGGAAATGAACTCTAATTTTCGAGCCAATAGACAAAATTTAAGTCAATTTTCAGGTTTTATTTTTGTCTCAATCTTTTGAAGGAAAGTGCAGACTATTTTGTGAATTTGTGATGAAAAGAGAAACTGGTGGTGAATAGGTTAATAGTGGATCTCACATACTAGTAGCTTGAGGAGATACAGAAATGTATATAGCTTCTATTTGAAACAAGAATTTTGTGCCAAATACATACAACTGCCTTATTTTACTTTACACATTTTGTGTAGTGCTGGTATTTGTATCACAGAAATCATAAAATTAAAAGAATTTAAGAGTGTTGGAGACTTAGGTCAGGGTTC